GATTGCATGCTAAACCGGTCTGATCCTAGTCATTGGACGGTTTCCGACGCCCACAGCAGGGATTTTTCCAAAAGTTAGTCCCTTCCACGACGCATATTTCCAGTCGTTCACCCACATAGCTAAGAAGAGTCGGCCCGGATGGTTTGGGGCATGCTGGGTTTTATCGCTTAAAACAGCAGCTCCCCCAAACTTACCGAAGCAGCGAAAGAGCTGCTTTGCAGATGGGAGTGGGGGGCCCGAGCTCCAATGCCTTCTCTGCGGGACCCGGGGCGGCCAGGGGCCTCAGCGAGCCACAGTTTCGTCAGGGAAGCGTCGTAGTCAGTTTCCTGCAAAGCAGCATGCGTGGACCTGCCCGTGGTTGCTGTCGGCTTTGCCTGTGCGATGTCATCCTGTAACCAATTCCGGTGGTGTCAAGTGTTCTAAAACAGGAGCCTTGCTGCCACGGTTCGTCTATCCATGCTTTACACCGGCATCGTATGCGACACGTGCATGTGTACTCTGATGTATATGTCCACACTGTCCTGAGCCCTGAACAACAAGCCAACCTGCAGCACTTGTGCTTTAGCTTGCAGATGGGCGGGCCGACTGCGAATCAGAACTCGTTCGTGGGAGCCAGTGCGGCCGCCGCACTCTCAGAGCAATGACACACACACACACACACACACACACACACACACACACACACACACACACACACACACACACACACACACACACACACACACACACACACACACACACACACACACACACACACACACACACACACACACACCACACACACACACACACACACACACACACACACACACACACACACACACACACACACACACACACACACACACACACACACACACACACACACACACACACACACACACACACACACACACACACACACACACACACACACACACACACACACACACACACACACACACACACACACACACACACACACACACACACACACACACACACACACACACACACACACACACACACACACACACACACACACACACACCCACACACACACACACACACACACACACACACACACACACACACACACACACACACACACACACACACACACACACACACACACACACACACACACACACTTCGTCATCACTCCTCGAGTCGTCGAGTCTACTAAGCATACCGCCGCCCTGTGCGATATGGCAGCCTGGCCCGGTCTGCAGTTGCTTCGGGTGCTTCGGTCGTGAAGGAGTGTTTTGACTCTGTCTTTCTCCATTCCAGTCGGTCGTTCCGAGGCCATGGGAAGCATGGGCATCAATGAGGCCGGCAATTCTGCAAGCGATGACCCTTTGCAAGACCTTGTCTTCCATATTCTGTGCAACCGCACACCCGAGCTCCTTCTGCTTCTGCGGCAGAGGCTTTAGCGGATGCTGCGATGAGGCAAGCGCTTGGCTCAGCCTGTTTCAGCAAAAGTCTCCTCGGCTTCTGCTTTAGTTTTGGGTATCGGCTCGAAAGTCCGGGCATGGATGTTTAGCATTGGCATCAGCTATCATATAATGGTAGTTCAGGGTTGTTCAGAGCCTCGACATGCCCAGGCCAGGCCTACATGTCGACGCCCGTCAGCTTCACGAAGTTAATAAGCCCGTGACTAAAGGACCCAAAGGCTAATGTCTCAGCATGCGTCAACTCGAAGTTTTCGGCACTTGGCACATCCTGCTGGAAGGACGCCCCAAGTGTTTCGCGTCCTCAGGATCGTGCTGTTGCAACAATCGAGCCCAGACGACAGCCGAGGCCATGTCACAAATGCAGAGTAGTGGTGTCCGGCGGCTCGGAGGGCGGCGGTGGCTATCGATCGAGTGCATCGTTGCGTGTTTTTGTTTGCACACCCTCAGACTTGTGTGGGTGTCTGTGTACATGAGAGAGAGAGAGAGAGAGAGAGAGAGAGAGGACAGACGGACAGACAGACCGACCGACCGACGGACCGACGGACCGACCGGACCGACCGGACCCGACGGGGCGGAGGACGAGGCGGAGGCCGGGCGGAGGCCGGAGGACGGGTGGAGGCGGGCGGACGGGCCGACGGGCCGACGGACACAAATCTTTTCCGTAGCAAAGCTAGACCATTTCAGTGTGCCCTCGCCTCGCTGATACAAGCTGATGTGAACTTGGAAGGTTTGACTGGGCAGCCACGTTCAAGGAGTCCTTCTGACAGATTCTATGCTCTGCTGAACCCTCAAGGGCATGTCCCGAACCAGACATCGAAACGACTCCTATGTTCTTTTAGCTGCGGAACCAGAGCCAATGAGCAAGCAACAGAACGATGAACGGCTAAGGCCATGCGCTGGTTTCCGTTTCTTTTCCTGAGCCTGCAGCAGCTCTTCAACGTAGGAGCGGCCCTTCTTTCATCAAAGGGCTGAGCCATGACTGCTTTCGGGGTCTATCTGGCATTGGGGTTCGAGACGCGTTCCGGGCTTCGCCTGGCCCTGTAGAGCCGAAGTCCAAGCCGCAGGCCATTCCTACGTTCTGAGGAAGTTGGTGGTGCTCATGTGCCCTTTCCTCAAGATGCAGCAGGCCCCGAATCGAGTGCTGCCCTGATCGGCTCGAAGGATTGGAAATCTGCCCTGCAGGCGCAGCACACGCCCATGTGGGACCTGGCCTTAGCAAATTGAAGAAGGGCGCGGCCATCTTCCCAGCTCATGATCAACATCTACATGCTTGGACAGTTGTTTTAGCTCGGTTCGGCGCTTTGCCGAATCTTATTATCACGAGAGTCGGCTCTGCTGTTGCAGGCTGCAGAGAGTTGCATGCATGAGTCCGCACTGTCCCACACCAGCATTGTAGTCAGTATGCTTTACACAAGAAGGAACCGACGGCGGGATGGCATGGCATAGAGGGTTTGCCGAAGATGTGCCCAGTTGCACCGACCATGCACAGCAACTGATCTCAGGTCTTTGCGACCTAAGTCTTACACCTTTCTGCCTCATTTTATCAGCCAAGCTGGTAAACTCGTTAAGTTATCAAGTCCAGAGGCTTTCGCGGGAATTGGTTTATGTTTTTGGGTGGTGGTCACGCTGCGGGTCCCCGGTTTTTTTTTTCCTAGGTCTGGTCCGGTCTGGGGGGCCTTGCTAGGTCTGGTCCCATGGTCCCTGGTCCTTTGGTCCTCTGGTCCCCTGGTCCCTGGTTCCCTGGTCCCCTGGTCTCTCCTGGTCCTGTACCCCTAAACCCTCAAACCGGCAAGAAACAACGACACAAGACAGAAGATTTGAGATTGTAATCCCGCAATATTCACACGCGAAACACGACCCTGCAAATTGTAGTGCTCCAATAGCTTCATGCAAGACACAAGCAAAACCAGACCCTGCGAATGCTAGTTCCCCATTAGCTTGATGGAAAACACAGGCAAATTGTAGTTCCCCAATAGCTTGATGCAAAACACAAACAAAGCCGACCCCGCAAATTGTAGTTCCCCATTAGCTTGATGCAAAACACAAGCAGAAGAACACACCACAAATTGTAGTTCCCTAATAGCTTCATACAAAACACAGGCAGAAGAACACACCGCAAATTGTAGTTCTTTAATAGCTTGAAGCAGAACACAAGCAGAAGAAGACCCTGCGAATTGTAGTTCCCCAATAGCTTGATGCAAAACACAAGCAACACCGATCCCTGCAAATGCGAACTCCCCAATAGCTTCATGCAAAACACAAAGAGAACCGAACCCTGCAACTTGTGGTTCCCCAACAGCTTCATGCTAAACACAAGCAAAATGAGACTCCGCAAATTGTAGTTCCCCAATAGCTTCATGCAAAACAGAAGCAAAACCAGAGCCGTCAAATTCTAGTTCCCCAATAGCTTGATGCAAAATAGAAGCAAAGACTGCAGTTGCCGCTGTTTGCAACCACAACCAGTGGACCAGACTTAGGAAAGCAAGCCGGGGCGGACCAGACCTAGGAAAAAAAAAACCGTTCCGCCGTCACGCTGCTTGCCCAGTCGCCGACTAAGGAGGACAACTCGCCTGGTGACCTCAGTACTCCTCAGCGCGGTGTTGGTCCCGACGGCTTGAAGGTTCCGGGAACGAAAGTTCCCGGGGGGTTGGGACACAGTTCTTCGGTTTCACAAACTCAGGGCGATGGGTGGGAAACGGATGGCTCGAAGAAATGTCTGAATTGATCAAGGAAGTAGGAAGTTCCCGACGTCGTGCAGTCCAGAGCTGTGTGTTGCTAGAGGATCCCAAGCCCTGCGCCCTTGCACGCTTGAACGCTGCGTCACTGGAGCCCCCCCCCCCCCAGGGCCCGTCCCCAACGTCTGCGCACTGGGAAGGTAGATGTGGATCAGCTCCGCACTCGGCCTTTTAACGTGGTCTTCCGAGTCTCGAGCTGTCAGAGCAAAGAAACACTGAACATATGCATTTTGACAGTCCCGCAAGATGGACGATGGACTATAAGCTTCAACATCCTCCACGTTGTTGAGGCCAGATCTATATATCCCTGTGATGTCCTACGTCACCTACGTGCTCATCTTCGGGCTGTCGTGGCCTTAGACAATCGGGAAAGCAAGTCCAGGCGTCGTTGAGCGAAGCGCGAGCCGATGGTGCCTCCTGTGTGTTTCGGATGTTATGTCAAGAAGCCGTTGCAACTCAGCCACGAATTATAACGGCATGCGGGGGTGAAGAGTTCTCGCAAGGTAGTGACTCTTGGGTGTGGCCTTGTGCTCTGCAAATTTGGTTTTTCCAAAGAGGCTCACGAGGCTCACCGAGTGGGCTCTTGCGACATGAGCAGCTCATGTCAAGGTTGCAAGTTCCCTCCCATGGCTCGAGCCAGCGGCAGAAATCACCGGAGTAACTTAATCTTCTCATCTTCATCAAGCATGGAGCATCCATATGGGCACATGACGACCAATACTTCAACTCTGCTGGAACTGTTGTAGGCACCTCACTAGTTGAGTGGCAAGTTGAGCCTGAGAGTAGGTTGAAGGGCTTGGAGAAGACATCAACAATGTAGCGTGCTGCTGACATGCTCGCACCGGGAAAGCCTGCGACGAATCCGCCGGTGGCACTCGTCAGCCCCAGCGCATCCAGTCATGGATGTCGCAACTTGCGCGACAGATTCGAGGTGCCAAGTGGAATTTGGGGTTTTGTAGTATGGCTATAGCTTACACCGGATGTCCTTACGAAAGTAGGGCAACCAAATGGAATGGAAATTGGGGCACTCTTCGTACTCTGCTCATTGAAGTCGCGAGTTTCTGCCTCGACTCTGCAGAATGGGCAGAACGGGCAGACTGAGGCCTGCAGCCTGCAGATCCTGACAGTTCTGTTTCAACATCGTCTCAATTATCGCAGAAGTGGAGTTGCTTCAACTACCGCCATGGCCCAGAATAGGGCTTGAGGCAGCAGGCCGAAGCCCAAACCGTCTACGCCGTAGATCCAAGGATCTGAACCAGCAAGCCGTCGAAGTAGCTCCCACACTGTGGATCCTGCTCTTTTCCCGGGGAGACCGCTCTTTTCTGGGGTGTTGCCCCGAATGTTGCCATTAAGGGATTCAGGGGCAGGTTGATTTGGGCACATGAGTAGCCCAAGGTGCCCAGCCCACAATTGCAGGTGCGCCGCCTTCTCGCACTGACCTTGGCCACATGCCGCCTTCTGCGGCCTCCGTTGGCAAGAGCCAAGGTGTCGAAGTTGAAGTTCAATTGAAGCAACAAGATCTCTGAATGGTGTCTGGGCAGAGGATTCCTTGTATTCCGCACTAACAGTCGCCAGCAGCTTGGTAGACACAATGTCGGCACAATTCACAATTCAACAGCTCACGCAAGACACGGCATGAGTCGTAACCTGCAGCGGCCACTCGAAAGTCTGGCATAAGCCTGAGACAGCTAGAGATGATGAGGGTGTGCTGGTGCATGATGGGGAATGAAGAAGCACAAGTCGAGATTTGTCAAACATAGCTGGTTGGAGACAGATGTGGCGAACAAGTTCAAGCGCATCAGGGCAAAGGAAGCTTTTCAACCTCTCCGGTTCAAGATGAGGACTATGGTTTGCAGAGCCAAATAACTTTCGATGGTCAGGCAGGCAATAAGCCAACTTCAAACCGCCACTGCCCGTCGTGCCAACGGTCTCGCCTCGTCTGGAAAAGAGGCGAGGGACTGCACAAACAATTAACTGGCAATACGAGTCGCACAGGTCGAGGTGGCCTTAGTTCGGCCAAGCATCTCTCCTGCTGATGTGTCGGATTAACTAAGCTTCAACGCAATCTTCAACCCTCCGCTCCTAGTCCTAGACCCAAACATGCCCGGAAAGCGCAGTCGTTCTTGGCTTCAGACTGCACTCCACGTTTTGCTGGTGCCTGCTGGTTCGGACTTCTGGGGAGTCGAGGCGCCGGGTAGTTCTGTGCACGTCTGTTGTGACAAGGCAGCCGTTTTTTTGGGTTGTCTCACTTAGCTTCAGTATTGGGAGAGTTACGCGGTGTGAGTCTGCACTCAATGCCTGTCGCCTCGGCGAAGCCTGGGTAGAACCCAAGAAGGGGATGGAGCGTGCCGTGCGCCCGGCCAGGTGATCGACAGCCCTGGACGAGGCAAAGGCTTGGCCACGACCCGGGCTATTCCAGCAGGCTGGCCGCGCTCCCGACTTGACGAGATGTGAAAGACCCCTAGCGCCGTAGCTGCGCCATAAGGCGGCGAGATCCTGGCAGAGGCGCCGCTCTTCGTGAAACCTGCGGGATGGTCGACTCGCAGGCAGCGGGGGAGGGCACGACTGGATGCTTGGCCTGGCTGCGTTTCTTCTCGTGTGTATCTGGACGCGGTTCAGTTCGTTTCCGTGGCATCAACGGTGTGTGTTCTGCGATTCAGAGACTGGTGTGCTGAGTTCCGCTGCGAACAGCAGCAGGTCGGCTTGGCAAGGAGGAGGCAGCCTTGACAGTCCGCGACCACATCCCCCACGCTGCACGCCAGGCTCGCCATACAGCTGCAAAACATCTCAGACGAACTCCGGACAAGGTGTCGGTCGGGTATATTTTTTTCCGAGATGTCGCTGTTCAGGATTCAGGAAGGAATTTTACGTGGATTTTGGAAAGAGTGCCGCCTTCTTCGAGGTCCCATTATGAGACTTCGGACACATGTTTATGCGTCTCGCACATGGCTGTGATACGTTTTGCGGGGTCCTGGGTCCTGGAATCACAGGGTGTGCCAGTATGTGCATTGAGCTGTGCATGCAAGGGCTTTAAAGCCCGCCACGCAATTGCTCGGCCTCGACAGGTTGTTGGAGTTGAGCCAAGCTCCGCAGACTGGGTTTGCAGAGCAGGAGCGGTCAAAGCTGAGGGCCCTTTGGTTTGAGCTCTTGGCTCATGAGCTTGATCCATCGTCTTGGCGGAAGACGAGTAGTGAGTAGTTCGTGGGACTTGCAACTTATTTTGCATAAGGCTCCAATTTGTTTGGACGTGTAAATGCGGGGCTTTGTTCAGAGCATGTTCTAGCGGTCGCTCGTTACCTTGTGCAGTACAGACAGTACAGTAACTGACCCAGTGACACTACATCTGCAAAAAGAATGAAGGTGTGCCACCAGTCCCAAAGTTTCGTCCATCAACCCTCAAGCAGACGTGCAAAGGACACCGGCGATGGTGCGGATGGGGCACTGCTGAGAGTGTACCTTGATCACACACAGCACTCCACACATGTGTCCTCCCAGCATGCACTGCTGGAATGGCGGTGCTTTTCCGTGACTTTATCTTCCGCAACTCCTCGCCCCAGGGTGCGTGCCAACGGCGTCCAGTCCTTCGACGGGTCCACATCGGTTCGCCTCGCGCGATTCCGGAAGTACAACAGGTCTCTGCGTGTCAGGGTGCGGATGTTTGACATTCTTCATTCTGGTTGAGGGCTTGTCAGTCGCAGGATGCCAAAACCGGACCTGCGCATTCCGGCTTAGTAGGTAGCGGGAAGAAGAAACTGAAATCGAAATGGAGGAGGAGTCGCAGGAGGCGCATGTAATCTTGCTGCTGGTCGCAGCGCCCAAGCAGTCTGGGATCAGTCAACGACATCTAGTCCCAGCAACACGAACGACGACGCAACGACAACAGCAGGGAGAAGTCACGAGGACGCACTGCGAACGCAGAATCTTCACCTCAGGAAAAGACAGCTGTTGCAGCACTCTGATGGCATTTTCCAGGATGACGATGGGGATGAAGGGACAAGGCTCCACTGACATAATGACGAGCAGGACCATTCATCCTGCAGCATGCACCTTCTAGAGTGCCGGGCAGCTGCCCCCGACACCCTGCACTGCCCACACTTACACAATGCCATGAACAGCATCAGGAATTTGCTTCCGAGTGTGCCTTGCGGGCCCTGCCAGGTTTGCCGCCTCGTCTCCAGGGCGCTACTTGCCGGCATGATGTCGGTCCGATGGTCCTTGATCTTGATGCTGTGCCTTGTTACAGAACCCTTGTACATGCTTCGGGACACTTCGCCGGGACCAGCTTCCGATGCTCGAACAACTGAACCCCATACAACAGACGAACGACCCTTCGACTTCTATCCAAACGGAATACCGCCGACAATTGAACGTGAGGAACCACGCTTGCCAGCCGACTGCAACGCTTTGCCCCGAGGCCTCTCCGTCATAAGTGCATGAAGCGATAAATCCAGGTCGTATCCGGATCCCTCTTCCATTCAGATCCAAGCACACGAGCGACCCTCCGGGGTTGGGGCTGCCACGGCTTGAGTTTTGTTGAAGTGGGCCATTGGGTCCAGTTGAGCAGTGCCTGGGTGCTTCAAGCTTTGAGCATGTCGGTTGGGCAGTTGGAACTTCCACAGCTGCAACGAGAGCTAGCAGCTAGCTAGTATGTCGAGGCGAAGCTGCGGTGTTGAGCAACTCAAGCATGTCAGGACGAACACTGTGTTTCACGCAAGTTTGAACCAGCTACAACTCACAGCCCAACCACAACGCTTCCACGGGCCTCCAATCCAAGTCCAGAGGAAAAGTGATGACTCAAAGGCTCACAGGCATCCGCTCCCGGGTTGGAACATCATCCTCGAATCGCAACTCGTAGGGCATTGGCCGAACTCTCTCCCTGGAGCCTTGAATCTGATTGGCCAGCCTGGCGGCGCCATTCGCTTGGTTGCGCTCCGGGCTCTGGAGCCAGGCGTGCTAATCACTCGGCCTGCTTGGAAATAGAACTGAAGCTATCGCAAACGACATACTACGTAATTTTCCGATCTTATCTCAGAGTGCTCTCTGTCAATTGTTTTTCATTTGTTGAATGGCAACTAGTGCTTGCATGCTTGTGCGGACATCAGACACTCATGCCTGTTGGGGTGCTGGAACCCCCGACCCTGATCCGGTTCTGGCGGCCAGGGGAAGAGATCTTAGTCTCCTACCTCTCTGGTGAGGAGAGCTGGGAAGTCGTGTTCGCACTGTCATGGGCATATGGAAGGCATGTTCACCGAGTACTTGAATCGTAGCAGGTGCAGTTGCTAGCCATCTTCGTCTTGCTCTGGCGAATCATGCAAACTTTAGGTGAGAAGAAAGATCTGGTATATGCTCGGATGACGTGAGTAGCATGAAGGCTTCAGAAGTTGACGTGGCCTGGGCGCTCGTATTCTGTCGTGCAGCATTTTGGGCTCGAAGCGACACTGTGTTTGGCAGTGAGGGGTCCTTGGGCTGTGTGCCTCACACCTCCAACATGGCCGCGGGGCTCACGTGCCTTGACTTGTTTAGACACATAGCTTCGCACTGCCTGTTGCTGTCTTCCGGTCCTGTTCTGCATTGCGAAACTCAGTGCTGGAGCACATTAGTTAATGTGCGTGGCAAGCGGCAAGATTTAGAAACTGCAGGCAAATCGCCGGTAAGTGAGTCTGGAAGGTGCCGCTGCACCTTCATTGACATTCAAGAGACACCGGGGGCACGCCTTTTGCGCTCAAAAAGCTGTCCTTCTTTCAGCAAAAGAGACGAAGACGAAGACGAGCTCGCCCCTCGGCCGACGGAGCATGAACTCAGCGTCTGTGCGTCGCCTTGGGCCCCCCATGGTTGCATCGACAGCCATGATTATGCCGTTCACGGTCCTGTTCAAGTTTCTGTTGTTACCAGTATTACAAGAATACCTATCGGTTCAAGTTCCTGCTAAGGTGATCGAGGAATACATGAGAGACCTGGAGCAACGAGCTCAAGCTCTCATCCTGAATCCGACAACTCCCCGCCACCGTGTGGCTGCAGCTCTGCCCGTCCATGCCGGCTCATCAGAGCGAAACTAGTACCAGAAAGCAGGTTCAGGAGGCACAGCAGTGCGAATGGAAGGCAGAACACTATCGGTGATGAAACTATTAGATGAAAAGTGTTATGGACAATCACCGTGAACACAGAGTGCTACTAGAGCTGCTAGCACAGAACCCTTCGTTGCGGGGTCCTGGTGCTACCTATGTGTGTCGGTGCAGTGAACAAGCTGCCTGGGCCCAGCGGACACTCCTAGGTCCAGCAAGTTTAAGGCTTCGAGGTGGTATTCAGAACCCATTTGTGATCATGGGTTCCCTATCTGGACCTACTTACCGCCTGCTGGTTTTGCTTATACGCAGCACCATAGGGTTTGTTTACACTTTTTAACATCTCGCAGCAGCACGCCGGAAGCCATCAAATGGATTCTGCTGCTGCGAGTTTCTTGTTGCCCCACCATCACATGATCGTTTAGAACGGGCTGCGTGGTATCTGCGAACGGACTGGTCTGGGTCCTGTTTGTTCCAGCAGATGCAGCTACGTCTCGAGACGGCTGGAACGACACATCTCAACTCCAAGTAGCTGCTGTGCAGTCGGCCAGTGCAGAAATCACTCAAGTGCTTGAAACCTGTTCCAGCCGCACATGTTGCACTCGTTCGGTCAACAAGCTGGTGGGGTCGGCCTTCCTGTTCAGTTGCACCATGGAGGTTTGTGATTTGACAGGCTGGATGTGAGAGGCACAGGCTGCCACGATTGTGACCTCAAGATTTTACAAGACGTCAGTCTTCGCTGCGCACGCTAGCACTTCAACTTCGGCAGAATGACCTATCAGATGAGACCCTTGTACGAGACCGCAACCACGTCCATTTTTGGAAGCTTTCGGACAGAAACCTGAAGCCTTTAAGCCCTGCAAGGCGAGTGTCAGGGTGTCACGGCCAGTGACCGCGTTGGTCGAGAAGGTCTTGCCTAGAAACTATAAATATTAATTAACCCTATAGACCATGGGATTCGGAAGTGGTCATGGCTCCAGCCTCCTCGAGGAATCCTTGCCGCAGGAAAACCCTTGTTCAAAGGACTTGGTTTGTCCATTTTCCAGTAGCCTGTGTCAACGGCAAGAGGCAGCAAGTTTGAGGGAGAAAATGGCACAAGCGCCGGCGGTGTCCTTTGAAGCCTCCGCATTGAGCTTTTGAGCTTGTTGCAGAGCCAGCTTCATGTGGCTAGTTGCAGGACCTTCTGCGGCCGACCTGGGCACGCCGCCGAGAACTGCTGCGCGGGCGACCTCTCGGCATTGGACTGGAGGGCCAGGTGAAGACTAGTGCCGGATGCATCTCCTTTGCCCCAACATATCCAGTAGGCAATTCCGAAGAAAGCCTATGTGGTCGGCACGTTGCGAATCCGAATTTGGGACCCTGAACCTCCCAGAAATGGAAGGTGCTGCTAGACTCCTCCGCATGTGACGTTGTCCATATCCGAGTGTCTGTTTGAGTCCGATACGGAGTCTGGCACAAAGCAGAAGAACTGGCTAATCGGCATTGCCAAGGCCCTGGGGTTTTCATTGCGAGTGCGAGCGGTGCCGGGAGAAGGACCAGACCGCCTGCACATGGCACATAGCTTTCACAAGACATTGCGGCTTTTTGGCAATAGCGGTTTCTAGTGATTCGGCCAGCATTCGTGATGAATCCATGGAGTGCACTCTCGATTTAATGTATGAAATTTAGGCGGAGCCGACCGTTGAACAACACATTCTCTCACAACGCGCAGTCATGCCGTTACGCCCTCATTTCTTCAAGTTTCGTTTGGTCCTGATGATTGCCTCATGATGGTAATTCTCTGCGACAGAGGAGGACAGCAGCAGTAGGACACTTTTGATGAACCCACCACCACCGCCGCCAGCCACCGCCACCGCCACCCCCACCCCCACCCCCACCCCCACCGCGCCACCCCCACCCCCACCCCCACCCCCACCCCCACCCCCACCCCCACCCCCACCCCCACCGCGCCACCGCCACCGCCACCGCCACCCCCACCCCCACCCCCACCCCCACCGCCACCGCCACCGCCGCCACCGCCACCGCCATCACGACCACCACCACCGCCGCCGCCGCCGCCGCCGCCACCGCCACCGCCACCGCCACCCCCCCCCACCCCCGCCGGCGCCGCCACCGCCTTCACCCCCGCCACCCCGCCACCGCCACCACTACCACCGCCGCCGCCGCCGCCGCCGCCGTAACCGTAACCGTAACCCTAATCCTCACCATCACCATCACCATCACCATAACCATAACCATAACCATAACCACAACCACCACCGTAACCACCACCACCACCGCCACCACCACATAGGGCCGCTCTTCAAGGAATCGGCACCACCAAGGACAATCAACGAAAGCAGCTTCAGCCACAGCAGCAATGGCACCAGCCTCAGCAAGAACAACGGCAGAGCAGCGACAACGACGACGACAACAACGACAACACCAACAACAAACACAAAGGCACCAAGAACAAGGAGCCTCGCAAGCAACTGAAAAGCAAAAGCGAGGGCAACAACACGTGGCGAAAGCAGCAGACGAACAAACAGCACCAGCAACAGCAACTAGAAAGGCAAGGCCAGTGCCAAGGCCTACTAGAAGCGGAGTACCGGGCTTGAGATGCAGGATCTCACTCGTGGGATGCAGTGCTTGAACTGTGGCCGCCTGGCCGCGTTCAGAAAGGAAGGGCTGTTTCTTGGAGAAGTTCTCTCTGACCTGTTGCTGTCATGCCCCATTCCTTCCGGCTTCGCTGAATCACTCCAAAACACACAAAACCGGCATTGACAGGTGGATTGGAGGCCGATGGATCGGACCACTGTCTAGGCCGTGTTCGAGTTTCGTGAAAGCTGCATAGACGGCTGTGGAAACCAGAGGCCATGCCCATTCTGATCAGGATCGTTGCCAATTTGAGCCCCGAACTCCGTTGCAAGTTAAGGTGCTGGTACACACTACCCTCTTGAAGATGGGAGCTGGTCTTGCTGCTTGTCTGCCGCTTGCGACATGTCTGATGCCTTTGAGTTTCTCATCGGCTTCAGGGCCGTTGGGTCGATGAACAGGCCTCTGTGTGTCAGGTGATGAGTTTGTTTTATCGGTCAGAAATCAGCACGCGAGTGGGTATGCGATGCGCTTACAGACTTTGTCGCTGGGCTCTTGTTCTCGTTAGTGAGAGATGTCATGCACCCCCCCTTCCATCCGCTACCCGGCAGTCTAAACCGAACAAAGCCTCCACCTCATCAGCTCGCTTCCCATTTGCACCGAGATCAGGTTGCGAGGCTTGTGGAGTTGCAGCCCCATCCAGCGAGAAAGTTGCAGAGGTGGGAGACACGAGTCAAGCATGTTCCAGTTGGCTGGTTTTGCCGCGCTTTGTAGATGGGTACTTCGGTGCTGAACAACCCACAGGTGAATCACCACTTGGTCGGAACATATTCAATCGAGCGCCAAAGTGGTCGAGTCAACAAACAGCTTGCCGCCGGATGGCCGTACTGCCCGAGCAGCACAACGATTTTGCGCAAAGCAGTTGTGCTGTCCGCTCTTCGTACGGAGCTACTCTGGTCTGGAAGTGTCTGTTGATGTGGCCATTTGCGTCAGGCCGAGTCCTTCTGGCAAGCAGCCGCTCGGCAGCTTACGACATCGTTGTCACGGTAAGTGCTTCTGCTTCGCTTGTTCACGAAGGCTTTGCAGGGCCTTGACACTGCGGATGAGCCACAATACCGTACCGCGGCTGCAGCATGGGAAGGGCAGAACAAACTTGAATAGAGAGGCCCCAGGCACACGAGCTCTCCACTGTGCAGCCATTGCTGTTTCTGGTGTTGCAGATTCGTAGAAGGGCTTGGTTCCTTGACGGAGAAGCAAGGCTTGTGAAAATCCCGGTATAGTCCAAGCCCGGAGCCCGATACTGGCACAGTGAGCGAGCCAAAGAGCCGGCCTTGCAGCCAAGCACCCATCGCCCACCCGTCGCAAATCTGGCACGCTCCAGCAGCATGCCTCTGCAAGAGGTAGTAGTAGCGACGGTGGTGGGCCTAGAATTGATAGTAGCTGGAATAGCGGTAATTAGCAGTCGCATAACTCGACTCTAGATACAGACTACGGGCCACACGAGGGCCCAGAAACTAATTAAACGGCTGGGGCAAATAATGCGGCTCATGACTAAGAACATCAAGCGAAAAAGGCAAGAAGTGCTGAATGGCATCAAGCACAGCAGCGCGAGCAGGAGAACTCGCAGTGCAGCTGCATCGCCGTCTCCAAGGTGCGTTGGAGTTTGGACTCCCGAAGGTCCTGCCGATACAAACTCGATGTGTGCCAGTTTAGAAACTGAGCCTACCATTTCCACAAATCGAAAGCGAGAATAACTAGGCCAAAATTTTTCGCTCGACTCTGCCGCCAGGCGAGTGCTTTTCTCCTTTCAACTTTAGTCTTCCCTGCTGTCCAATATGCCCGTCTGGGCAGGAACATACGACTTTCAACCTTGATGACCCCGCACAATAAGGGCCCGAATGAGAGCGTGTCTGGAAGTGGTGCTGGCATCGTGCGCATGTCGTGTCCGGATCTTGAGCTGTGGCTTCTCGTTTTAACGCAAGCCCCGCAATTCTCGTTCTTGCAGCTTGGAGTCTGCTTTGTGGAGGCTTAGCTACGTGGACAGAACCTGAATCAATAGCTGTCGCGGCCTCGGAGACAGGTCTGGGGCTGTGGCCGCGGGCGAGGCAACACTGGGCCGGCTTCTCGGCACTCCGCACATGCAGCCGAAATGCAGGCACAAGTGGATACAGACAGGCTGTTCGCCCTGAGTGATTCCAAAGGTTGCGGCGTGGGCTGCCAGAGCAGCAGCGGCAGTGCACCAGGACAGGGCTTGCAACCAATGTCAAGCCCGCTGTGACAGGGTGGCCGGAGAAAGCCCGTGCCGTCATGGAACTTCTATAGCCAATCAGTACCTAAATCCTCGTGGATGGAGTGCTTGGCTGGGCAGAGCTGCTCTGGACAGGAGGCGCAGAACTTTGGCCCGGCGATAGCTGCAGCAAAGCAGCTTCAAGCATATGCCAGAAGCCCGGCTTCTGGCCTTGTCCAGGACATGTTCAGGTGTGTGGAGAACCAGAGGCAGATCAGTCAGTACTTTTCTCCATCTCCTTCGTCTTTGGGTAGGGGTGGTCGGCCTGCTTGAGATCCTGAAGGATGGGAAAGCTCGTCCGATTATTGTTTATCCGAAGCTTACTCACTGGCTCGCTCGCTCGCTCGCTTACTCTCTTAATCATGCTCTGCCGAGCTGTTTACATCTCATATGTCTACATCATGTATGTTAGTATATTAATGAACTTGTGTGTGATGCCAGGGTGGACCCCACAGAGGTGAAACAGCATCTAGCGCAACAGCCATTACAGCACCCCTGAGGCTGCCAAGACCACAGCACGATAAGCACACCAGAGCACGGCACCCTTTCGGGACAAATGCACGGAACATTTGGCGGGAAGATGCAGAAAGACGAGCCGTAAGCAAAATGTGCACTAAGATGCGGCAGGAGCATGATGTCGGAAGGCTAAATCCAATCTGTTCAGCGCTTGTCGTGCAGGTGCGCCACGTGCGTGGGCAGTCACTGGTTGCGTTGCATGCCGAGGCACCAAGAGGAAAGCGCTCGCGGGTGTGGGAAGGTTTCCGGGGGGGGCATTTCGGCATGGGCATCGGGGTGTGGGCCGATGGCTTCAGGCCTTGAGGTGTTTCCCGGTGCAGCCGCCAAGAGTCCTGTCTTCCCAAACTTGAGGCGTTGGCATTCCGAGCTCGGGGTGCACAGGGCTTGGCGGAGAAGCGTGGCAGCGTGCGTGCAGGACGAACACCCTCGTGTTAACTGCTAGCTTCGACAAGTAGGTCACCAGGCCTGTATCGTTAAGGCACCTGGCTTACTCACGCCACAGGCTGAAGTTCACAGTTCATGGGTCACTTGATGGAGTGATTTCTTCGTATGGCTGCACATGAAACCAAGCAACCTTGGATACAGCTGTCATCCCCCGTGTTTGCCATACCTCAGCATCTTGCTGGCAGCGCCATCACTGCGATTTGGTGGCTGTAGCCAAAGCCTGTTCTCACGAAGGTTGTTGTTCAAACTACCTGCAAGCTGCCGCTTAGTAAAAGATGACAACCCTTGTTGGATGGAGTCTGCCAGGACGTGTGGCAAAGATCCATGCGGAAAGGGGCTTGCAAGAAGCTGCAACTTGCCTTCGATTTGGAGCCGGCTGGGAGTCTTTCAGACTTCATTGATACATGTAGTTGACTTTTGGTGATGACGATGATGATGATGATAGAGGGAGGAGGAGGAAGGGGAGGAGAAGGTGTTAAGCGTGACAGCACAGCTTCGAAACCACGGCTCGTCGCAGTTCAAGAATCAGTGCCAGATCAGGACTTCATGAGCGTTCTCCTACTAGAGGGCAATCCCATCAGATGCGGGTGCCATTGCCACATGTTGTTCTGTCGAAGATCCGGAGTCAGAGCAGAGGCAAGAGCCAACGGAGACTCTACTCTTGTCATCTGAGGCAGCCTCAGCCCGGCCATACGATCAAACAAGTCATACAAGTCATGCCATGCTTCGACGCTTTGGCACGGCTTTTTGAGGAGCCGATCCTCGGCATGCGCCATCCCCTCGTGAGGCCCGCCGGGTGCACTCAAAATCCCTCCGTCTGCCGGTGAGCCGCATGTCTTATCGATCCGTCAGTTGTGTTTGCAGAAGAAGCCATAGTCTGTGTTCCACATGTCAGCAGACTCGACATGTGGCGCGGGACCATCAGCACCAGCAGTGATTGCCCAGCGAATGGGCAAGAACAAGGCTTTGGAAGTCTCAGCTGTAGACCAAGTCGGCCAAGAGATCACATTGCCACGGTTTGCCAGTGGAGCAGAGGAGGTCGGGCCGCAAGGCCTTGCACACGTCGCTAAGAAGCCGTAGGCCGTAGGTCGGTGGGCTAAACTAAACACAAACTATTTCGCCCCCGCCTGAGGGCATCGTGTCAGCAGTTTCTGTGCTGTTGGTTTGGTCATTGCAGAATGGCATTGCTGTGAAGAGGTCATTGGAGCGTCTCCGGAGTGGTCTCAGCGAGGCAGCCCTCACTCCCTTGCGATACTTTACAGATAACCTGTGGAGACAGATCTTCCTGAGAAGCCAAGTGAGTGTTCGTAGACTCGAGGACGGCGAGGCCCCGGATGAGACGGCGACCTCGGGGCATCTCGGAAGCCTTGCGCATTGCACTTTGCAGCTCCGGCTCCCCCGATGGATAGCAGGCTAAAGACTATAGACTTGAGAGAATAGAGTCTAGAAACGCCGGAGACCGCCAAAGAGAATCAGAATCACTATGTGAGGCTGAACATGATGCCCGTGCCATTGCCTAAGCGTGCGCACAGCCCTGGCTGAGGAGCGAGACTTTTCCGCGGCCCAAGCGCCGCAGAGGTCGCCTGCACGATGGCCGGGGCGGCCGGGGTCGTCGGAGACAAAAAGCTGCAGATGACGGCAGGGTTGGTGTCAAACAGTCATTCAACAAGGCATTCGCGCTTGGAATCCTGTTTAAACTACGTTGTCCGTTTACAGTCTCCTAGTCATGTTTAGCAGGGTTCGGTTCAGAGATGAAGGAGCAGAAAGTTATGAATGGTTTGAGAATCACGACTGCTTCGGAAGGCGTCCACATCATCTGACCTCGGTCAAAAGGTATAGCCAAGCCGGCTGTTTTTCACCCGTCTTCAAGTAGGTCGAGACCGCTAGTCACTAGTTCCTGCAGCGTGGCCCTGAAGCCCACATGCCACGGTTGCAGTCCTGTTCTGTGCCACTGAGGCAGCGTGGAATTCTCCAAGACTTCAGACCTGAAGTGTTGCCCTCTACGGCACGGTCCTCTGGAAAGTCTTTGTTTTCTGTTTAATAGGCAAGGCTTGCGGCTTGCAAGGGATCTTCTGGGCAGTTTGGAGAAACCGCCTTGTCCTTCCACTGTCGGAACCCTCAGCCCATCATCCACCGGCTTCTGGCGTAGAGCGTGAGACCTTGTTCGAAGTCTGGCCGGCGCCATTGCCAAGGCATCCTTCGCAATGGTTCTCCTCTTCTTAGAGGTGAGCGCGCTCTCGGGGATGATTCGGGCTTCTGGAGCTTCTGGGACGGGCCCTAAACCCTAAGCCCTGACCCCATAAACCGTTACCCTAAGTTTGCGGTTCAAAGCACAGGTGGGAGTTGCCAAGATGGGCTTCTACGTTGTGGGAAGTGCTGTGCCGGAGCCCAAGAGGAGGGAGTTTTGGCCAGAAAGACCTCCGAGAAGCGAGGAGGGCCGAGGGCCAGAAGCTGGGTTCAGGCTTTAGCGTTCAGGCCAAAAAGACCTCTGAGATTAGAGGATGGCCAGATGCAAGGCCCTTCCTTGAGCTCATGGCCAACTGCTCCTACAAGTTTGTCCCAGCTCTGAGCTGAGTTTCCGCCTGCGAACTTACAAGCGCGTGATTTGGTGCTTTTTTTCTGGAGCCTCCAGGCTTTGTAACTTTGTACTATCTTGAATATGGTTATCTTGCAGCATAGAATCAGGTCACCATGATGGTCCTCGCCAGGACTTGTCCGCAAACTTCAGAGTCTGCCGTCAGCACCTTCCTGCAGTCCACAGTCTCTTAACGGCGATGAACATGCAAGTTAAGAATGGCTTGTCAGAAATTTTCTCGCAGGGAAGTGCGCTGCATGTCACGAGACTTGATACAGCCGCAAAAGTCGCCGCAGAAATTTCTCTGCCCGCCACTTGTAGGTTCCAGGCGGGGTCGGCGCGCGACTTTCCACACCCTCTGCAAATCTCTGGAGCCAGAATCTCCCAAGGTTGCCATTGCAAGGTACAGTCACTGCTTGTCCCGTTTTGGCGATACATATCATATGTGCTGGACTTCTTGGTTTCGCTAGAACTATAGTGGTGATGCCGTCTTGGTCCTGCACATCTCTGTTCTGCAATGCTCTCAAATCCTGTGCTCAGCCCGTTTCTAGCTGAAGCTGCCAAGTGCTTTCGATTATGAACGTGTAGAAGTAGTTCAAGAATCGAAAACTTCTGGTGTGTCTGTACTGCAACACGGAATCCCTCGTCGTCATCCGCGCGCAAAACAGCTATGTAGAAAATTATGCAAGTGCTAGCAAGCCTTCTCAACAGAGTTCATCAGCTGCGACAGGATAGTCACGGGACAAAATCCGCTTCTTGACAGCATTCAGGGCTTCAGGTGGTAGATGGTAACTTACATACGGCTCTCAGGGTAGTTACCTTCACGTTTAAAGTTGGTATGTGCAGCATCATCGCTGCTGTCGGCACGTATCAGTGACGGGCGACAGAACCCGAGGAAATCAAGAGGCATTGCAGACTCGTCCAGTGGAAATGTATTGGTGGAAATGTCTCATTTCTCAGAAGCATCTGTTGCCGTAGAAGCTGGCCACACAGTGAAGGCCTGTGGCTGCCTCATCACACGAGGCGATGCAGACCCGATTAGGTTGAGGTATAGGCGTGGCTGCGCATCTGCTACATGGGGCTCGCAAACCAAGTCTTCCAATGTGGGTTACTTGAGAGCAAATTCCCAGGATCTACTGGGTGTTCTTCGCCTACTTCGCAGCAACAGCTGCGCGAACCTTAGATGTCTTTCTAGAAGGCGTATAGAAGGACGGCGGAGCCTGCACAGCGCTGGTGTTCTGTGATGCCCCGACTCTTGGAACTGTTGTTTCTGCAGCGATGGAGTACACCGGACCGGTCTGCTTGCATCCTGAGTAGCTGCTCACAAGCCAGAGTTTCAGAAGCAGCAAGGGTTCTCATCACTCTTCTTCATGCTGGCCCGAGATTTGGCAGGCCTGGGCTATCCGACGCTTTCTCCTCCATTTTGAGCCCTCTGGGACGAGAGAGCAGCAGAAGCCTCAGCGACTAAAATTCTGAACCCCGCTGGTTTCCATGCAAGGACCTATCTAGGCATCTTGTGATTCCAGAAAGGGTTCGGACTGTTGAACAAAACCGGATGAGGCTGAGTTGTGCACTGCCTCCAGTCTTGCGTCTCCTCCCCGAGGCTTGATTTCTCCACTGCCGAAATTATTATACAACTCCAGTTGTCAAGGACAAGCTGCAGTTCTTGAGCTGAAGGTTCTTTGAATACGCACATATCTGTTCGCAGGCACAGTTTTGCCTATACTAATCATTCCTAATTTCGCGCTGTCTTTACTCATTATTCGTCCACATTTTATTCCATTCCATTCATCATTCATCCATTCCTAGCAGCAGTAGCAGCAGCTGTAGCAGGAGCAGGAGCAGCGGATCAGTGGAGCAGCAGCAGCATTGAGCAGGAGCAGTTTTTGCTGTTGCTGTCGCTGTACTGTTGCGGCAATGCTGGTGTTTGTAGTGTTGCTACTGTTGCTGCTGGTGAGGTTGTTGTTGTTGTTGCTGCTGCTTCTGCCGTTGCTGTTGCCGTTGCTGCAATCACCCGCAATGTGCAGAGCCCGCTCGCACAGCGTCCAATTGAATTGCCGTTGCTGTTGCTGCTGCTGTTGCTGCTGTTGCTGCTGTTGCTGCTGCTGCTGCTGCTGCTGATGCTGTTAATGCTGCTGTCGCTGTTGTTGTTGTTGCTGCTGCGATTGTTTTTTGTTTTTTTTGTGTTTGTTGTTGTTGTTGGTGGTGGTAGTGGTGATTCTGCTGGTGCTGCTGCTGGTGCAGCCGCTGCTGCTGGTGATGTTGTTGTTGTTGTTGCTGGTGGTGGTGTATTTTTTGTTTTTTGTTGCTGCTGTTGTTGTGGCCGCCGCCGCTGCTGCTGTTCGTGTTATTGCTCTTGTTCTTGGTCTCCCTGTCTGTCTTGGTTTTCTCGTTACTCGTAGTGTTATTGTTGCTGTTCGTGTTCTTGTTTTTCTTAAACTTCTTCATGTCTTGTTGTGATTCTTCTTGTTATTCTTGTTACATAGTTACATACTCTCCTTGTTCTTCTTCTTATTCCTGTTGCTTTTGCGGTTGTTGTTATGACTATTTGCTCATACCTTGCTTAACAACGCCAGGCCTTGCGCCTTCGTTCTCCCAGGTATGGTGTGGCTCCGAGCGCAATGCACGGCCACATGATCCTTGGGCCTGGGGCTCAGCTGGGGGCCGCAGTGATTGCTGGGACTTCCAAGCACGCGGTTGATTTCAATGGTGGCTGAGGTTGTCGTCTTATCATTACTACCATTATTCGAGTAATTTCTGTATGTTTGTTCAAAATATATTCACAAAGCATCTTCTGGCCTTCCCTCTCCTTCCTGTTCTCGGGCAGGTTAGCCTTGGTTCAGCTGCCGCTCTGCTGGTTCCTGACACCATCTGCGGCAGCCCCTGTTGTTGCTGCCCCACCCAGGTAGACGGTAGAAGTAACTAAATCTTTCGCATGTGTCTCAAACATCTGAATTGCCGCAAAGTTGCGAAATGCAAGACATTGTTGTGCCGGACGACCTTAGCGCAACAACTACAACGGGGCTGCATCGAGATTCGATGCAGCACGGTGTCCTGAAACCTCGCTCAGCGAGATAGTGGACACTGCACCATCCACGCAGCGAGGCGAGGAAAACAAGAGCTGCAATGCCCCGAGTTGTTGGCATGGATCCGTGGGTGCAGATCACAACATCCTGGGCAGCAGGAACCCTTCCAATTGTTTTGGGTTGTTGGAAGTTGTTTGTGCATCGGTGGCTCGCAATGTTTTGATGACACAGATGGTTTTGTCAGCTCCAGAAAACTGGCTTGGTCCAGCGTGATGTCAACTGTAAACAGCCTCGTTTTCATCTGTGACAGCAGCCTCGTAGTTTTCTTCCTGGAAGACCGATCTGTGCTGATTCGCGAATGCTTACAGCGGAGCTGAGTCTCGTCACCTGCAGTCACCGTCATGGAAGATGAGCCGCCTTGTTGCTTCCCACATGCGGCTGCACAGAGTGCCGAGAAGACACAGGTCGCAGCCACCCAGACCATGAGAGCTGAGAGTCTATAACCGCTTGCAGGATCCTTGCATCAAGTTCCACCGTAAGCCCAGGGCCGCTAGAACCCGATGCCCGATGCCATAATGTCGGCTGCCCCCCGACCTGGAGCCGGCCCGGCGGAGAATCTCCTCAAGGAGCGACCCACAGGGCTCCCACTCCCGCAGGGTACGAAGGATTCGGATTGGCCAAATGTTTCCTCCGCCTATGTCAGCCGTGAATCTCCGTGTGACAGCGGGCCGGAAGCCATGCTTTGCTCCGGCGACCCGCAGGAGCTGCAGCAGGGGCGGAAGATGCAAATGATTGAGGCGCTTTGGAGGAATTTTCTCTTCGTGCTTGAGGTTCTCACATATTGTCAGCGCGGGGTTCCCGACGATTCATCCTGGACCCTACAGTAGCTCCTACACCCTAACCTCATTCATCTAGACCGCTTGCAGCTCTGCCGGTGCAGGCGATTAGTCTGCAGCTCCAGTCGCTGGTACATGGATCCTAGTTGTAGTTGTTCATGAGGGTTGAGCGGGGCCGTCATTAACTTGTTATAGGATTGTATCCGCATGGTAGTCCAAGAGTCATAAATTTCAGCTCAGGCCCTCAGAAGGGTTTTGTGGGGCTTTTGAGAATTTGGGCATACTTG